GCGGGGTGCGGGGGCGGCTGTCTGGGATGGGAGCGGGGGTGGCGGGGTTGGGGCAGGGGCAGGGGTGTTTTGGCGGGGGCGAAGGTTGGGTAGCCCCGCCGCGGGGGTCCGGAGGTGAAACCCCTACCCCGGCTCGGCCCCCGGGGATCCCCGCGTGACAACGCTGACTAACACCTACTGCCGCCCATTTTTACGAAGAGCACTAACGCCCACTGCTGACCATTCGATCCCAAGCACGCCAGTTTGGATCTGGCACTAGCATTTGCGTTTTTCTTCAAGGCCTTGAATCCGGCACTACCATTAGTCTTCTTCGCTTCAAGGACACCAGCCTCCATTGCCAGAGTGTCCAGCCCCACACCAAGACGCCTGTTCGTTATGTGTTTGATGACCCTGAAGTACATCCAGGGAAATACGGTAGCCACAACACCTTGAACGTCCTCTCAGAAACACCTAATTTATTTTCATTCGTTGCAACAAGCCAAGGTTTTTCTCCTCTGCATGTGGCTTGCGGCGAACCGGGCCCCAAGGAAAATGCTCCGCCGCTCATTGGACTGCCAGGTCGCAGCTGAGTTTGAATGTGAAAGTTGGTCTGATCTCCATGAGAGCGACTCTCTTCTGTTTCAAGGAGCTCCCGGGGAAACTTCTCCGTCTATTCCAAAAATGTGTGTGCCCGAATTCCGATCAAATCGGTCAGACCCTCAAATTGACAGACGCTGGGCCCCCCTGACCACTGTAGCTGGGTCAAAATGTGAGAGCTTTCCATTCACATTGCATGCCGCTCCTGTAATTTCGTGCCCAGATTTGGCTCTAGAGTAAAAAACATGAAAAAGAAGAAAAGAAAAAAAAACAGCAAGCCAATCTTCTCAAATTGGGCCCATCTTCACAAATCGGGATGTAAATATGGGTCTGTTGTTGTTTACGACCCCGTTCTTGTAATTTTGTGCCCAGATTTGGCTCTAGATGAAAAAATTGAAAAAGAAAAAACAACGACATCAAGCAGCCCATATTCACAAATTGGGATCTGAATCTGGGTCCGTTGTTTACGACTACTCAATTGAGGCGTTGGACATGCCTCAATTGTGCTTCAGCTACTTCAACCGAAATGGCAGTTGTTGTCAAGTCCAGTGTTTTCCCTTCTGTCACATTCACATTACCTTCAGGTAAAAACCTAGAGAAGACTGGCGACTGCCTGTAGGCTACCTACCAGAGCGGCCTGGGGCAAGTCGCCCAGCCAGCAAAAAAAAAACTAGTTTTCATATTTATTTCTTATTTCACATTTGGTAAAGAATTCCGGTGGGACCCGGAGGCACAAGTTGTTCAGTTTATTTTTGTGTACGGTATTTTATTTTATTTTTTGCTGGGCCCTACTCTGGTCTTCGCACGGCCGGTCCGCCCAGCGAAACAAGGTGATCCGGGCGGCCCGGATGCTAGCCCAGGTGAACGGTAAAGTGATAGACTTGTCAGCGTTTCTATCATCTGTGCTTCAGCTCAGCCGAGAGAACTCCAAATTGCACCACTTCGCACCTCTTCCTCCTCAGTGGGAGATGCGGGGCCCAAGGGGTCCCTGAAAAGTCGGTTTTTTGCAGCCCCCTAAGGTCTGCAAAATCAAATCGTCATCAACGCCCAAGTTCTCCCTAAGGTCTGCAAAATCAAATTGTCATCAACGCCCTAGTTCTCCAAAGGTCAGGTGTGCCAAACCTCGAGTAGTTTCTCAAGTATTTTGCATGCGGGTGACGTCAAACGGACAAAGCAAGAGTTAGACTCGTGGTCCCACCTGCTGCCTTGCAGCTGAAAAATGAAAAACAGGAAAGAAAAGAAAAATAGAATGAATTATATCCATCCACACATGAATCTCTGCCCCTCCCCCGCCGGATCTAACTGTCATTCTAGCCACATTCAACGACATAAGTCTCGGTGTGAAAACACCCCGAAAAAGGAATATCCAGTCAGTTGTTGAAAGAAAATACATGGACTCTGAGGGCCCACCCTGCCCTAAGAATACAAAAAACCAACCAATCCCTGCAGCCACGACAAACGCACTAGACTTATTACTTAGGACTGCACCGCTTAAGGAAACGCGCGTGGGAAGGACACATACGAAATGGGTTCAGAAAATGTAACGCCCTACCAGTCTCGACTTTATATTCCTCCAACGAGAGCCTGTGGGCCTGCTGATATTCCCTGACAACCGGATTCAGTGAACAGCCCGCCCGCCTGAGGTTCTAAAATGTCAAAGCTACCCCCCTAGCATTGCGCCCGAGATCACGACCTGCACCTAGACACGATTACACGTGCACATTCAGAATCAACTGGGACGTTCGTTGGATACCTACCTGCCTCCAAAGACAGCGTCTGTGGACCTAATCTTCCCTGATCACCATCTTTCGATAAACAGCCAATGTGAATTTGGAAATCCCCAAACCGACCCAATCCGATTTGCACCCGAGATCAGGACCTGTGCCTGGACATGGAAAAACGTAGGCACAGTCTGATCGGGGTACCGGTAGTTTTGTTCGTTCAAAAGAAGATAAACCGGTCCCACGGCATCCAGATGTCTTCACAAGACTACACGACTTTCACAGATCTGCTAGGCCATATTCTAGATCTTCTTTGCAAACTGAGATTAAAAAGCAGGGGGGCAAAAGGGGCGGGATCAGGGAAGGGCACCCCGCTTACCCAGATTCTTTGTTTCTACCCATCGATCCTCGTCATCTACGATTTGAAGCGTGACGAATACGGATAAGTCGAACCGCAGCCTGGGTGAGGGGAGATCGAAGCGAGCCGAGTCCTTTTCGTTTCTTTTCGAAAATAATTAAGGGGAAAAGAGTTTAGACCACTTGTCATTTTCCGAGGTGTCATCCTTCCGCAGCGACTCCTTTTCGCGTACACAGACTTCTTTCTAGAACACGCGAGCCGAGTCCTTTTCGTTTCTTTTTGAAAATAATTAAGGGGA